TAATAAGTCCCAGATAATCAGGAAAGTTAGCATAGAGAAATAGTAGCTAATACCTTTTCTTAAAATTTCTGATTCTTTGATGGACGGAGGTAGAATCAGTAAGAGGAAGAATTTAAGTCTGTGTGCTTGGGAAAAAAAATTCTTAAAAATGGTTAGAACTACTGAAACTTAATAGTCTCAGATGGTGTGTTACAGAAAATAACTAATTACTCCTTTTAGGTCTCAAAGTAGTTGGTATGGAAGCAAAACTATAATCTACATTAAAGTTGGAGCATTAAACTGAAGAGTTAGTAATATTGAGATCGATTCTCAGGAAGGTTACAAAGGAAAGAAAGGCATATTTCTTCCAAAGATACATTAGAGAATTTAATAAAATCATTAATACACTGTAAATTCCAGCCTCATGGCCTTTCCATAAGAAAAATGAGGGAAACTGACAAAACCAGTTGATAACATGATTTCACCTATCATTCCACTAGACTGGAAGCTCTGTGAGGGCAAGTTTGTTTTGTTCACCACTGTATTCCAGATTCTACACAAAAAGAGGCTTCTCACAAATACTGATTCAAAAAAAAAGAAAGAAACTGAATTGGTGTTTTCATTTCAATAACTGACAATGACTGATTAGTACAGTTGAAGGAAAAGCAAAAAAAACTTGGTAAAGTAAGAAACAAGGGAGAGTTCATCTCAACAGCATGGGTCTGAAAGGTCAGGGTAGGAATGAAAGGGGACTAGGATGAATCTTAATACATAAGTAACACAGCTGTAGAAGAGCAGAGACAGGTGGGAGAAAAGCACTTAGGAAGGAACCAGCATAATCGTAAGCTCGGAGGAAAGACAATATACAGCATTCAGGGACTAGCCAACTGTCTGGTGTGGCTAGAACATAGCAAATGTGTAAGATACAATGGAAGTTTAGGGCCGGAACTTGGAGCATGACTGCTTTTCTAAGGAGTTTAGACTTTAGCTTGCATGTCACAGTCTAAGGAATAAAACAGTGATTCCAATTAGGGGCCTATTCTAATAGACTACGTATGGAAATGAAGTTCTGATGAACCTCAAAAGCATCATGTCAAGTGAAAACAGCCAGATGCAAAAGACCATATATTGCATGATTCCATGTATATGCCACGTCCAAAAAAGGCAAACTTACAGCGATAGAAAGTAGATCGATAGTTATCTTGGGCTGGGGGTGTTAAGGGGGGAGACACTGCAGATGGGCAAGAGAGGTCGTTTCAGGGTAATGGAAATGTTCTAAATGTGGAATGTGATCATAGCTACCCAATCCTTAATTTACTAAAAACTTAATTATAATAACCTATAGTGAAAAGGAATAGCTTTTCGTGGGTGGCGGCGAGCGCGGTCAGAGCGCCACGAAGGCCTCCGGCACACTGCGAGAGTACAAGGTGGTGGGGCGCTGCCTGCCCACCCCCACAGGCCGCACACCGCCTCTCTATCGCATGTGAATCTTTGCGCCTAATCATGTTGTTGCCAAGTCCCGCTTCTGGTACTTCGTGTCTCAGCTGAAAAAAATGAAAAGTCTTCCGGGGAGGTTGCCTACTGTGGACAGGTGTTCGAGAAATCTCCCCTGGGGGTGAAGAACTTCGGCATCTGGCTGCGCTATGACTCCCGCAGCGGCACCCACAACGTGTACCGGGAGTACCGGGACCTGAGCACAGCAGGCGCCGTCACACAGTGCTACAGAGACGTGGGCGCCCGGCACCGCGCCTGGGCCCACTCCATCCGGATAAGGTGGAGGAGATTGCAGCCAGCAAGTGCCGCTGACCAGCGGCCAAGTTCCCGCTGCCCCACCCGGTCCTGCGTCGCCAGCAAAAGCCACGTTTCACCACCAGGAGGCTCAACACCTTCTTTTAGATGCAAGGCCTTCCTGTCCCTCTTCTACCCAAATAAACTCTTTGGGGAAACAAAACAAAACAAAAACAAAAACAAAAACAAAAACAAAAAAGAAAAGGAATATATTTACAAAAAAAAAAAAGAATATATATGTATAACTGAATCACTGTGCTGTACACCAGAAAGTAACACAGCATTATAAATCAACTATCCTTCAATAAAAAAAAAACCACCCCACTGAATTATACTTTTTTGTACTGAAACAAACATTTATTGAGAGCTTATTGTGTAAAGCCCTGTTCTAAGTGCCCAGGTAGAGGGGTGAACAAACCAGAAGAAAGCCCCTGTAATAATTCTTGCCCTTCTTGCTCAGAAGATGACTTGGAAACTCCAGGTGTAATCTGGCACCTGGATCTTCCCCTTACTTCTAGAGCTACAAAATGAAGATGGCAGTATTATGGATACTGGGAATGATGCTGCTGAACACTACTGGCAGCATCATGTCGCCCATCTGAGACTCCAGGTTGTCTCAACCCACAGCCTCAGTTCTTATAGGAAGAATGACTTGAGGGATGTGTAGACACACTTCTTCCACTCTACATTGAAGATTTTATGATTAACCTCTTCATTCAATGGATTATTTCTTCGGGTAAATAATTTCTAGGCATATTCAGACAGGATTTCTTGTTCCTGGGCTGTGACAATTCATCTCTTGATGACACTTTTCATAGTTCATTTCCATTGAAATGAATTGTACTTTTTGAAAGAAAGAAAGAAGGGGAGAAAAAATGAAGTCCTGTACTTGGGCAGACCTGGGAATGGAATGGAAGGGGTGAATATGAGACAATTGACAGGACTGGCTGAGAGACAGGCTATACAGATGAATCAGAGGAAAGTTTAAATGACTCAAGTTTCTAGTCTGAATGGCAGGGATGAGGATGATGTTATCACATGGAGAGAGGGAATAAAGGAGGTGGTTAGGTGGAGAGGACTGTTCAGAGTTAGGCAAGCACAATTTTCAGGTGACTGCTAGATATTCACATAGCAATGTCCAAAACGAAGTCGAAATTTCATCGGCACTCAGATTTACCACGTTCACTCAGCGGTGAAACGTGAGTAGCCTGAAACCTGGGGAGTGGATGAGGATCAAGAGTTGAGAGAAATGACTTTGAATACACTGAACACACTCCTGCAAGGATAAAGGAGTGATTTTTTTTTAAGGACATATTTCAGCTTAGTCTTTAAATAAAAGGACATTCTAGATTTATAACGAAAAGTCTGAAGAGAAAAGTGGGGTTTCTTTAATGAGTTCTTTTGGCTATAGAGGTCAGATGTTAAGATATCACAGCATGGAGACTGTAGTTAACAATACTGCATTGTATATTTGAAAGACGCTGAGAGATCTTAAAAGTTCTCAGCATAAGAAAAAAATTGGGGGGAAGGGTATATAGCTCAAGCAGTAGAGCGCATGGTTAGCATGCACAAACTCCTGGGTTCAATCCCCAGTACTCCCTCTAAAAACATAAATAAAAAACCTAATTACTTTCCCCCTCCAAAACAATAAACAAAACTAAAAAAATTTGTAGCTGTGACGTGATTGTTCTTAACTAGACTTATGGTGGTGACCATTTCGCCTTACAAATATTGAATCATTATGTTGTACACCTGTAACTAGTATATGTCAATTACATCTTGATTATAAAAGAAATGAATTTATATCAAACTGATAGAATTAAAACACTTTTTGGAAATAACTGCTTCAAATTTAAAGTTTCAACCTTAATCCTGGTAAAGGCCAAATCAGTAAAAAGAATTCAGAAGTTCTGGCGTCTCTAAGCTTTACGCGGTGAGAACAGAAGGGCGTAGCACGGGGGACAGGGACTTGCCCCGGCCGATGTGACCCCAGGTGAGAACTCAGCTCGCAGGGCTCCGGAGACTTCAGCAAGAAAGGCACCTAGTCTAGTCCCTGGCGCCTGCCCAATTCAGCGGACAGGATAGAGGGCCGAAGTGCCGGCCTCCTTCGCTTTCTTTACTCTCTTACCTTCACCGCGTACAACCTGCTGCCTTTCTGCCCCAGATACACCTTCCCGAAGGCGCCACGGCTAATGGGCTTCACTATGGTGAACTCCTCAATGGAGGGAGGTCGTGGCACCGGGATGTTATTCACACACTCCCCTGTTGCCGCGCCTCCTCCACTCTCCTTGCTGCCCGCGGAGGGCTTCATCGCAGGCCAGTCGCGATGCAACGTTGCAGCCGCCGCCAACGCCCGTTCCGGAGCCGCGACTCCCGCAACTCGGTTCAAAGTGAGGCTCCACCCACGCCGCACGCCGGCAGTGACGCCACCCCGTCGCCGCGCGCGCCGCGCCCAACCCAGCGCGGCCCCGCCCGTCTCACTTCCCCTGGTCTAGCAGAAGCTAATGGGCGTGTGGGCGGGGCCGCTGGGAAACTCTTGAACCAACCACAGACTCTCCCAGGGTGAGTTTGTAATGGCACCGGGCGGTACAAACAGTTCTTGGCGGACGGGAAAAGGGGCTACCGGGGCTTGAATCCCAATCTTTGAAGAGTTTTCTTCCGACTTCCAAACGAGGCTGATGAGACCCTGCCCTCATCCCACTTTAAAAAAAAATTTTAAGCTCCTTTGCGACCTCCCACCCGCGGGAGAAATGTAAACCAGTTCGGGTCCGCTCGGTAAAGCCATGGCCAGTGAAATCGTAGAATGTGGAGAAACTGGATGAGCAGGAAGCGCACGACTGGCCCTGCAATGTGACATTCTAACAAAATGTAACTTGCCCATCTGAAACAGGAAGAGTTTTTGATTTACTGAGGGGAAGATAAAGATTACTGAATTTGTAGCAAAAGAGCTTATCGTAGGTCAAGGCCCAGTCGAAACAGAAGTGATAATGAAGCTGGAGAAAGATTTAACGGGGTTGATGCCGTTCTCCTTTAGAAAGAAAACTACAGTCAGAGAGCTTTGGGGATCCGGCAGGTGTGCATTACTCAACGTGAACATGAACGACTTTGGGGGCCTCAGCGGCAGCTGTAGAAAAGCAAGCCCTGGTTAAAAACGGCAGGCTGACGCACACCGCCGGGGTGGCGGCCTCACCTGCCCCGGAAGTACTGTTGCGTTAGCGCCTTGCCTTCCGGGGCAGATTGGCTGTCGTTGCGGCAGCTGTAGGAAGGGGAGGCCATTTTCCGTTTTTAGGAAAAGTGAGGGCGACGGGAGAGAGAAAAGAAGGAAAAGAAAGGGCTTAGCGCCTCCCCGCCGGGCCGTGAACAAGAGGGACAGTTTCGGCAGGCGGGTGAGGTCGCTGAGGGCCCGGAGAAGATGTTTTCCCTGTCGAGCACCGTGCAGCCCCAGGTGGGTCCGGCATCCAGTCCATTTTTCTCCCTTCTTGCTCGCGGCTGTTTGCCATTTGCGTTTCTTGGAGGCGGTTTCTCTTACGTGATCGTAGGAGGGAAGCGATTAACCCAGCTGGAGTCCTGGGGTTGAGAAGGGATCGGGGCAACGCTGAGAGTAATGGGCTGACGATGGAGCAGAGGAGACCTTGGCTTATCGACTTGATTGCGTGGAATTTTTGCTAGAGAATCCATCAAGCATTGTTCAGCGCTGGACTTTCTGGGGTGGGGGGTGGGGATCTGGTAGGGGAAGCGTCTTTGCCGTAGACATAAAGGGAGCAAATGATGTTCCGTTCCCATCATTCCACGTTTTCAAAGACTTTAGTAATTCCAGCCCCGATTCTCTACTCTTTCTTTGACATGGAATTTAATCCAAACATGATAAAAAAATTGGAATAAACTTATACCAACTGTTTTTTCTTTTGCCCGAAAGTGACTAATAAATATATATTTTTAGATTATTGACTGCTTGCAGTTAAAATTTTGATTCAGCCTCCTCCCCATTTTTTACTCGATAAAGCAAAAGGGCAAAGAAAAAAGATCCCAAGGGTTTTTATTTTTAATTCTCTTGTTTCAGGAGTAATCACTTGTGGCAATGTTTTGGTCTTAGTTCATTTAAAAGTCTTTTTTGATGATATTTTGAATTTGGTTTGTTTTGAGTTCCTCACAGTTTTGCAAATAAACAGTTTTTGAAAACATTCAGTTTTAAAAATTATTTTTGACACTCTAGTTTCTTGCTTCAAGCATATTGGTATGTCCCTTTGTGTAAGCTCCATTCCCTTTTGTTTGGGTTTTTTTGCTAGTACTGGGTTGGTTAATAGAAAATGAAGTGGTCAGTAATGTTCTAGGTGAACAAAGCAAACGTGGAATCTTAATGATAAGAAGTAAAACATGACTAGGAGTTAGCCAAGTGAAGAGTGAATAGAAGTGAACAGGTATCCCAGGGAGATAGTGTCTGAAGGTTCTGAGATAGAGACCAGCCTAGCTGATTGGAGGAACAAGAATAAGGCCAGTGTGGCTAGAGCCTGGTGATTAAAGGGCCAATGACAGAAAGGAGGTTGGGGAGAAGACTTGAGTTTGATCATACAGGGATTTATAAAAAGGGACTTTGGATTTTATTTTAAATTTGTTGGAAACTATTTAAAGGTTTTAAGCATGTTAAGGAGTAACATGATCAGATTTATATTTTTAATAGATTACTCTGGCTTCTTGCTGTGTGGAGTGTGAGAGGACAAGAGTGGAAGTGTCTTCAGGTGTTAAGGATGTTATTGTGCTAATTCCAGAGAGGGATAATGCACCACTAAGTGGTGATGGTGGTTATGGAAAGAAGGGGACGGTACTTATTTTACAAAAAGAATAGAATTTCATGAGGGATGATGGACAGAGGTGTTTCAGGTTTAATCAGCTGGCTAACAAGAAGGTGTTATTTACCAAAATGACAATGTCTAGAGAAGTCCTATCAATTGTTTGAAAAATAATCTTACTTGGCCTGCTGAACGTAATATTAAATCTTTTAAAACTGAACATCAGCAAGTTTTTATCAAGAAGACCCGGTTTTAGAAGTATATATCATTAGCTGAATATATGTTATATGTGATGTTGGTAGAGGCAGTGAAGGAATTTGTGTACTATAGGCAGTCCTAACTGGGCTCATGTTGGTCCCTTATGCATTTTATGCTGTGGAAGATGATAAACACATTTGTAATTCCTGATTGCTTAATTGGTTGAATACACTCGAATTTAAATTGTATGACACAGAAGGTCAACCTTTTCATTGAAAAGAGATCTACCATCTTTTGGCAATTTAAATTCTTTATGGAATGAGAAGAGAAATAACTAATTAAAATAAAACTTCTCAAAGGTATAGGCAGAAAATATGTATGTATCTTAAAATAATTTGATTCCTGTGGGTTTTTTTTAATTGAAATAGAGTTGATTTACAATATTGTGTTAGTTTCTGGTGTACAGCATAGAGATTCAGTTATATATATATATTTTTCATATTATTTTTCATTATAGGTTGTTACAAGCTACTGAATATAGTTCCCTGTGCTATACAGCAGGACTGATTCCTGTAGTTTTAAGAGTTTGTTTCTTTCTGACTCTAAAAATAATACACATTCATTGCCCAAAATGCTGAAAAGAAAAACATAAATAAGAAAATAAAGGTCACCCATAATTTCATTACCCAAAGAGATCCCATTTTAGAATAAGTTCTTTCATACTTTTGATCTCTACACGAATATGTGTATGTGTACTTAAAAAAAAAGATGTTACATAAAGTTTTACAGCCTACTTCTTTCATTTAACAATATTATGAATTTATAACTGGAATCTGGACTCAGATTATCTGGGTTAGAATCCTTCCTCCTGTAGTACTTTCTTGCTGAATGACTTTGAACATGGCACTAAATCTATCTAAATTCTTGTCTTCATCAGTTGAATAGAAGTATAATAGTAACTAACGTTTATAGCTGTTACGAGGATTAAATGAGATAATGTAAGTAAAGCGCATAGTACAAAACCTGGCATTTAGTAAGAACCTCTTTAATGTATTCATTTACTCAGTAAGTGTTTATTTTTAATTTTAATGCACATCTGCTATGTGCATTATTGTTGCACTGGGCTACACTATTGAATGAAATAGAGAAGAGAAGATTGAGAAGAATAAAATATGTAAGTTATGTTAAGTATTATGTAAAAGTGTTTTATATTAAATAATTTATAAATAAAATAGAAATAATAAAATAGAGGGGAAAAAAATTCCCTTGCCACATGGAACTTATGCTCCAGTGAGAGAGTGTGGTATAATAAATTAAAAATATTTGGTCTTTGTTCCCAATTCTTGGCACAGAGCTCCTGAAACCCTTGAAATTTCATGTGTGATAGGTGAGTCTTTATTCTTAATGTCCCTTTTTGGATCACACCTGGGTGTATGCTAATGAGGTGACTTAGGGTTGGGAGGTTCTAGTAAAGTTCAGAACTGGACTGGTCACCAGGAAGACCTAGTGATTAGAAGGTGGGCGCTCTCAGCCCCAAACCTCTGCCTCTGGGAAGGGAGAGCTGGGCTGGAGATGGAGCTCCATGAAAACTCTTGAACTGGGGGATTCAGTGCAGATGCTGGCAGTGCAGGAGAGTGGTACACTCTGAATCTGTGGGGAACGTGAGCGCCTGTGCTTGGGATCCTTTTAGACCTCGCCCTATATATTTCTTCATCTGGCTGTTCATTTCCATCTTTTCTAATAGACCAATAAATGTAAATAAAATATCTTCCTTAGTTCTGTGAGCTATTCTAGCAAATTATCCAACCTGATGGGTGTTGGGGGTTGTGGGAAGCCCTGATTTATAGCTGATAGATCAGAAGTGTCAGTGTCTTGGGACTTGTGACTGGCATCTGAAATGGGACTGAGCTGTATACCTGTGGTGTCTGCGGTAACATCTCGTAATTACTATCAGAATTGAATTGTTGGACACCCAGTTAGTGTCCAACAATTATTGGCTGGTATCAGAAAATTGGTTGAGAGAGAGACAGATAGTAAATAAGTAATATGTAAATTACTTATAGATAATTAAGATAAATCTAAATTTAGATAAATAAGACCTAAGATAAATAAGTAAATATATAAAGTGTTTTAGTGGAAATGTCAAAAAGGGAAAATAAAGTAGAGAAAGGAAATAAAGGATATTTTTGAGGGGAGGGTTTTTGAAATCTTAAATAGGTTGGGTAAGGAAGAGACTCATGAAAAGATGACTTGTGAGTTAAGAACTAAAGGGAGTACGAGAATATGTAACTAATGGGACAAAAGAGGGGGTAAACAGCAAGGCCAAGTCCTTGAGGTGAGAGAGGGCCTGCCAGGTGCGTTCCAGGCTGGCTGGAGCAGAGAAAATGAAGGGGAACATAGTAGTGGTTCAATTCAGAGAGGTGATAAGGAGCCAAGGAGGGCTTTCTGTGTCCTAGTTGTTTGGACTTTGGCTGTTATTGTGAGGAAAGCCCTTGGAGGGTTTTGAGCAGAGAAATGAGATCTGACTGATTTTAATAGAGCAAATTTAAGGAGAGAAGTTAGGACCTTTTGTAAAAATTCATAGGGATCCTTGTGATTTAAAATAGGGTGGTGCAGTGGGGAAGTTGAAAAGTATAAAATTCTGAATCTATGCTTATGGTTTTTATGTCTGTGAAATGTTTCATTTTTGTGGTGGTATCATTTGTTTAGCCACTCCCCTATTGTTGGACATTTCTAGCCTTCCACAGTTTTTTAAAAGATTTTTGTGAAAATTGTCATCTCTGCATATGCAAGCATAGATTATTACTTGCCAGATTATTTCCTTGGAAAAATCCCTAGAAGTTTGATTGCTGGAACAATGAAATGTATGTAGTTTTAATACTTTCGCTGTACATAACAACAGTACTGTCCTGAAAGCATATGTCAGTTTTCTTTCTACCAGCAATAAATCTGGATAGTTTTGATATACACTGTATGTTAAACTTTTTACAATCCCAAATCCTGACAATAAAAAGACTTTTTTTGTATTTTTATTTTGAAAAGCAGTACTTAATGTTTAACTTTCATCTTTTTTTAGGTTACAGTTCCTCTGAGTCATCTCATCAATGCCTTCCATTCACCAAAAAGTACATCTATTTCTGTCAGCGCATCAGTTTCTCAAAACCAGCATCGAGATGTGGTTCCTGAGCATGAGGCTCCCAGCAGTGAGGTAACAGCTTTTATCCTGGATGTGTGAGAAAGCTTGTTGGATTCAGTATGTTGTAAACATGCTTGAGATATCTTTCTGTGTTTAGACATTTTTAACAGGGTGATTTCTGTCTTCAGCTTAACCTCTCCTTTATGATTAAAGACATCTAATTCTGGCTTTGTTGTACATGTGGAAACATTTTTTTTTAACATTTAATTTATAAAAAATTTCATGTGGCAGTGTATTGCTGTTCACTTCCTACATTACTCCTGAATACCATTTATATGTTCTTTTGTGCTGCTCCAACACTAGCAGGGATCCCACGACTGCCCCGCAAGTCTCAGGGAAGATAAAATAGCAAGAAGTTATCATCTACTGCCTTAAAGGAGCTGTCAGTGTAATTAAGCAATTAGAACAGAGGGACCTGAACGTGAAATGTATGTGCTATGAAACTGTACTTTGAGTTTTCAGAGAATTATGAAATCATTGTGGCCAAGGACATAGGGGGTTCCCAACCTAGGAACTTTGTGTTTACAAGATTTACTAATAAGGTAGTTGCTTGTAGCTCAGAAAACATTTTTCATAGGAAAACATTATCATCTCTAGCTAAGTTTCTCAAAAGCCTCTTTAACCCAAGATAGCTGACATACTTAGTCCTGGTATCAGGGGCTATGGCAAAGGACAGTAGAGGAAAAGTTGAAAAAAGGTTTGCTTGTGGTGGAGGGGCGAGTTGTGAGGTTAAGTCTTGGGATACAATTTTAATTAGATGAAAAGTTTGTGTTTATCATCTTTATGCTTTCCTTTTATACTATCTGCCAGTTCCTGTTGCCTCTTTCTACAGGCAATCCATCTTTGTCTTTAAAAAAAAAATTTCTTGTTTTAAATTTTGGGGAGAGCTAATTAGGTTATTTATTGTTTTTTAAATTTTTAAACAGAGGTACTGGAGATTGAACCCAGGACCTCGTTCATGCTAACCATGTGCTCTACCACTGAGCTGTACCCTCCCCCCCATTCTTGTCTTCTGTTGTGACACCACTCTCCCAAATTATAGTCTAAGAGAGCTTTCCTAATGATAATACATGTCATTTGAACAGTGAAAGTTTAATATAAAAAATTAGTATAATTTTTTAGTCTAATACTTAAAAACCCTGTTCTTACAGGGGATTGGAGTAAGTAGGGACTGGCTAGTAATAAGTAAAGAAAACACAAATATATAGGACTCACAGATTTAAGGAGCAGCTAATCCTCCCAGGACTGAGAGCGTCCCAGGAACAGTTCTCCAATTCTGGGCTGAGGTTCTGAGGTTGTTGGAGAGGCCATGGCCTTGGCTTGCTGAATGGCAGAGAAGTCACTGGTGCCACGCCCGCTGAACCTGATGGAAATCTGCCCCCTGGAGTAGGAGGGAAAGCTGTTCCTGGGGCGGTGTCTTACTGGAAAAGCTGCTGGGCACTGCTGGACTTAGAGAAGCTGCACCAGTGGCCATAGCCAGATGCTGAAATAACCAGGGACATACCAGCCTGAACTGGGAGCAAAGACTCCTCCTACAGTGTCTCTCCAGTGCCCTCTACTGACCGCTTAATGTCATTCTAGTCAACAAAGGAAAAATAGTTAAAGGGCCCAGATCCACATTCATGGAGCCAACAAAAAGGATAAGGAGGAGCTAAGAGCTGAATTGATAACCAGCATATCATCCAGAACCCTTTTCCCTCACAATCCATATACTTTACCAGTTTCTTCTAATGTCTGTTGTCTGTGGCTTGGTATTTGCATCCTTCTTAATCAGGGCTCAATTGAGATTCATACTGTTATTTTCTTCTTTCATCAGCCTTCTTTCCTCCAGCTTGTCATCTTTATCATCTATTTTCTTCCTATAAAACAAAACTGATGATGTTAGCTATAAAATTAAGTTCAAACAAGGCTCTTCACAATCTGGCCATAGCCCATCTTTTTAGTCCTTCCTTCCATCACTAAACTTTTTACTGCATCCCAGGCCCTTGGATGACTTTTTGGTTGCCCTCTTCCACAAGGTTTCTGCCCTCCATCATTTTGTGGATTAGATGTCACTTCAGTGAAGCCTTATCTGACTTAGAAAATTAGTTGTTCTGTATCCTCTTACCACATTTTTTTTTAATATCTCTGTAATAGCAGTTTGCCATGTTGTATGATAATTACCACGTTCATATGAACCTTATTTCTCTTTATATTCCTACGACCCAATGCCCACTAAGTAAGGGGAATAATTTTCTGTCTTAGTTAAAAATCTACATTTCCCTTTTTAAGTCCTTGTACTGTAAATAGACGTTTTGGTTTCCCCATTTTAAAAGATACCTTTTATCTTTGTAGCTCTTGAGTATTATAGTCCTGTTTTCATTATAATAATGTGCTTTATATGGTATAGTTTTTAGTACCTTAAGCACTTTAAAGTATTTCATCCTGTCTTTAACTTTCTTTACGTGTTAGGATATCTAGTTGAGCAAAGCATGATCTCTCCCATTGATCCATAATGTCTTGTTGTGAAATAGGCAGGGTATATTTTAATAGTCATTTTACTAATGAGGAAAGGAATTCTAAGAATATGAATGACCTGTCACAAAGCTAATAACTGACAGACTCCTGGAGCTCACCCAGAGCTGTGTAATCCATGGATCTAACTACATCAATCCTAAGAAATTGATGTTTTACTTGTTCTGTTTATCGTTGTTCTCCCTACTTGAAGTTTTAGCTTTTCAGGGCTTGAAGTTGTTACTTGTCCTTAGTGTCACCCTGTTGGTTCGTTTGGACAAGAAGATAGCTCACCCCTCTCCTATTTCTAGTTACTGTAGAACTTTTTTAAGGTGGGTGTATTTTCTTGACTAGTTTTCATACATCTTTTACTTTGTTCAGTTTCCCTCCTGATTAAACGTTAGAAATGGGTAACTTATAGAACCTCTCAGTTCAAATGAGAATCTCAGCAATTCTTTATTGAATGGACTTTTGTTTCTGATCTTTTGGGACTGAAAGAGGCTTTAAAGCTCCTTGGACTGGTGATAATATTGGGAATATGATTTTTTTAACCTTTATCAAACCTTACATGACTGACCTCAGTAAAACTAGATCTAGAAGAATATTTGCACCAGTTTACTTTTTAAATATTTGAAAGAAAGGGAGATTCAGTACATTTTTTTAGATTTTAAAAATTCACCTTGTTTCAATTCATAAGTACTCTTTAAGTTAAATATCTTGATAATAATACCAACTTAGTTGTTTTAATCTTTTACAGCCTATACTTAATTTAAGGGACCTTGGGTTATCTGAATTAAAAATTGGACAGATTGATCAACTGGTTGACAGTCTGCTTCCCGGATTTCATAAAGGCAAAAACTTTTCTTCCAATTGGCATACATCTCATATTTCTGCACAGTCCTTCTTTGAAAATAAATATGGTAAGTTAATATATTTTGTGCTCCAACAAAACTAAACCATTTTAGTACTATTAATAATTTAATAGATACCACTTACTAACATTTTCTATGTGCCAAATTCTTTCCTGAATTGTTTTTTCTCTTTTTTTTTTAAAGAGTGACTTTTCACTGGAATGATTTTAGTTTTACAGAAAAGTTATAAGGATAGTACAAAGAGTTCCTATATACACTTCACCTCTCTTCCTCTAATGTTAACTGGCTACATAACCATGGTACATTTGTCCAAACTAGGAAATTAACATTGGTAAATGCTTTTAACTAAATTATAGACTTTATTTAGGTTTTACCAAATAAAACTCAATTTCTCCAAATCACTAGTTTTTTCCACTAGGGTTCTTTTTCTGTTCCAGAACCCAACACAGCATACTACATATTATTTGGAATAGTGGAATGTTGTTGTTTTAACTGTATGTGGCAAATATTTTTTAGATTCCAAGTAACATACTGACCTCTGAGAATACATTAAAGAAACAGTCGTGGTCCCTTCTTTTATAGAATGTCTATGTATTTTCTTATATGTGTCTTATAATAAGTGGGCATTTTATTGAAAGGAATGTCAACTTCATGATACTTAAACAATGAATGTTGGAGCTTATCAAAATACTTGTTGATGGCAGAACAGACTTAAAAAATCAATACAAGCGATAAAAGCCCTGGAACAAAAGAACAGGTTTGAACAGTTTTGTAATGAAGGCTTGATTTGAAGCTGTACTTCACATCAACTTAAGTCATTTACTAATCCTTTGTTCTTCTCTTACCTTTATTTTATGTAAGAGTGATAGGATGAATAAAGAATTCGAAAGTAAGAAAAAGTGAAGTTTTTGAGTTTAGAGGGTTGGACTAAAAATCTGCTTCTGTTTTATTGTTTTTTGTGCTCTACTGCCTACTTCCTGAGAGAAGCCCTAAGGCTTTAGTGGTTAAGAGTGAGGAGCAGACTAGGACCACACTCAGTCCTGGCGCTGAGTGACTGGGGTATTTATATTAAATCTGTTTTCTCATACAAAGTGTGAGGTATACCCCTTATCTCTCTTTAGAGGATCAAATGTAGTAATCTACGCAAAGTACTTGGCCCACAGTAAGTGATCAGCAGAATAAATTTTTTGTCATTATCACCGTTTTATAGTATTTTTTTTCTTTTGCTGAGGAGAGGTAATTAGGTCTATTCATTTTTAGAGGAGGTACCGGGATTGAACCCAGGACCTCACACATGCTAAGCATGTGCTTTGCCACTTGAGCTATACCCTCCCCCTGTTTTGTAGTATTGTTATTATTACTGTTGCTTGTCTAGTCTACGTATTTTGTTTCCTTTTAAGATGTTCCACTAACTACCAGCTGTGTTTTCTTGGCTTAAGCAGGCAGAGGTATTAGGAAAGGGTTTCTTGACTTGATTGTAAGAGTTCTTAAAAATCGCCGAATTCTAACTGAGATACAGGGATGGCTGAGAACAAGTTTCTATGGTTGTTGCCTCCAATTCCCTGGGATCATGGAGGTTAAGTAGGATGGGGCCCATTGGTAAAGAACGGGAGTCGGGAAGAATGACGACAGTATTCATGGCTGTGGAAGGAACTTTCTTCTTATCCAGTGATGGAGCTTTAAGAGGGAAAGATAATGAGACCTCTGGATTCCAATGTTTTATTACATTGTTCACTAGACTTGAAATTACCTCTGGGAGATAGCATTTCTTTGTCTGTTTGTGCTCTTTAACTGAAAGCTTTAGCTAAGCATATTTATCTTTTACCTGTTGGTTTGAGTGTAATTTCATTGGCAACTATATTCATATATCATATTAAAAAAGATAATCTAATGGACAAGTGATAGTAAAGCGATGAAAAATGTGATTAGATTTGTAGTGCTTCTAGAAGTATCTAAAAGCAGAGTCATGTATGGTCAAATAAAACGCAAAACTCATTTTGGTTTTTCTAATATTTGGTAAAATTATTTGTTGCATTTCATGACTTTCTTTTGTTCGGCAATTAAACAATTTACTTTTTATAATTTCCCTGCAGGTTGCTTAGATATATTTGGTACTTTACGTCCCTCTTGCTTGTACAGACAACATTCAAGAACTCTTAAAAGAATTTGTTCAGATCTTCAGTTCTGGCCAGGTATGAAGCAACAACTGTATTTTTTTGAAAACATAATAGATTTATTTGACATAATCTGATTTGTCTTTCTTAATGATATTAATGATTATAAACTTTTATTTGTGGCTCACAGTAGAACTTACAGAATATTTGGAATCAACTAGTGTGGGTGTTCCTGTGTAGTTTTTAATCTTGGAAATATAAAATAACTAGATTCTGAATGTGACTGATAAGTGTCAGAGTAAATCAGCCTCTAGGGAACTCATGAATACCTGCTCCAAAACAATCAAGCACACTTGTTTACTTCCCTCAATGTCAAAATCCCATTGCAATGAATAAATAAATAAATAAAAATGAGGAAAAAGGGCAGCAGCAGAAGAGTTTCATAAATGGTCCAGAAATTTGATGACTCTGTAAGTTGTAAAGTTGAAATCACATTGATATCAAGATCAAGTATATATTCATATTTATCTAGTCCCAGGCACTAGTGGTGTGTTAGGTGATAAGGGATAGTTACATAACTGGGAAAGATATACGTTGTCACCTTCATGAAACTTACAGTAGAGTGACATGAAAGAGGTGTATAATGCTGTTTCCAGTAGAACTTAGGAAAAAACCCCAAGTTCTGAGTCAGTAATAGTGGGCTCTAAGGTGGCAGATACTAGAAGGTTGAAAGATTGTGCAAAGTGGTCCGTAACACAACAGATCTGGCCACCATCTTTTAGGCGAAAAACACATTTGCAGTAAGGTGTGTGTGTTGAGAGGAGACTCTTGGTTTGAGGTTTGATGCCAAAGAATGAAACAAGATAGTAACCCAGGTTACTTTGAACTTGAATCAAACACTAAAGATACCTACTCATTTACTGTGAGTCCATGTTCTGTAGTCTAAATATGCTTAACGCCTTGGTAATTTTGAGGGCCCTATTTCCAGTCAGTACTCATCACTCTTTTCTTCTTTACAAATACAAATGGATTAGCAAGAATCTCTACATATTTGAGGAAAATTTCTAGCATGAAAGAGAGGCACCAAGTTGGGCAAAGAAGCCTCCTTGGAAGTCCTTTGAAGAAATGGTTAATGCAGAGGACAGAAGAATACTTTTGAAGGATGGTGCACTGATTTTTAAGTATTTATGGAAGAAAAAACTAAGCATGTATTAGGGTATAAAGAATATCTTAATAAATTTTTAAAAAATTATAACTCAGAGGTCACATTCTTTGATCATATGATAAAACTGAAATCAAATGACATAAAAGATACCTAAAAAAGTTCCTAAAGATGTGGAAATTTTTAAAGATACTTTTCTGAATGTCTTGTGGCTGAAGGGAACTGAAAACAAATTACAATTACTAATGAACCATAGGGAAAATCTGCATATCTAAATCTTTGGGGTTGAGGTCAAGCTGATGCTGAGGGCGTTGTATTAATTTTAGGAAACAAGGAGGATAGGAAATAAATGGGTTAAATATTCATATTTAGAATTTCTTTAAAAGAATGTGAGAAATTAATGTAAGACATTAAATTAAATGTATGAATCAAAGCACAGTGCAAAAAACACTAAAGATTAAAAAGATGTGATTTCTTGTGTTTCAAATCAAATAGTAAAGGCATTAGTTTAAAAAAAAGGCATGGTTTTTCATTAAACTTAAAAATTACTGTATCACTTAAGAGACAAAGACATTAAAATAAATGTTTGAAATATACATGGCTAAAAGTGTATATAATATCCATATTCTACAGATGAAAATGGAAAAATATGAAAAGTCATGAGTGGTCAGTTCACTAAAGAAATAAAAATAGTCAATAAAAATAAAAAACGTTTTCAAAAATTTTCCTCCCTTCTAATCTGAAATGCAGATTGGAACACAATGCTATGTTCTGCCCATCAGATTTTGTACAAGTTAAAAAGATTTTTATTTATATTAAATGGTGCAAAGGGTGTGGAGAAAAGGATACTCTTACTCATTGGTGGATGTATATATTCTTGATAGCAACCATTTAGAAGAAAATTCCTTAGTGTTAAACAATTCAGGTCTCACAGTGTCACTTTTAAGAATTTAGTCTTCATGTGGTAAAAGATAACATGTACAAGAATTTTAACGGCAGCGTTATTTTTAGCAGTAGAGGCCAGGAAACAGCTAATGCCAATAGTAGGGAGGTAGCTGAATAAACTGCCATACTCTGATAAATTAGAAAATTGTAAACAGCCGTTAACCTGAAAAATTGACCTGTTCTGAGAAAGAAAGATCACAATATATTGTTAAGGGAAAGAAGACAATTGCAAAAAGTTACGTACCATTTTTATCGAAAAAGTATGAATTTAAATACATAGAAGTGCAGTCATGGAATTTTAACAATGGTTACTTCTGGGAAGTGGGTTTGAGGTTTGAGGAAGGGATACTGACCTTTTTAAAAAATATTTTATCAGTGGTTATTTGTTGTTGTTTTTACATTTTAAAATTAACCAAGAAGAGGGGAGGGTGTAGCTTAGTGGTAGTGTGTGTGCTTAGTATGCTAAAGGTCCTAGGTTCAATCCTTAGTACCTCCATAAAAAAATAATAATAATTAATAAATAAACCAATTACCTCCCCCCCAAATAAAATAAATAAAATTACCAAAAAAATGTAAAGTTACTTTATAGATTCAATCCATTTTAATGACTTTATTTTTTGGGGGGGGCATTTTAATGACTTTAATTACAAGTGTGTTGAAGTGACAGGCAAAGAACTGTTATAAAATAAGACTAGGATATATGGGGATAGTGTCAGAGTTTTGGTTCTTAGGCACTTCCCTTGTAAAAATTAAAAATCAGAAGTGAATGTGATATTGTTTCATTCAGTTTTCGTACAGTCTCGAGGTTTTAAAACTTTGAAGTCAAGGACAAGACGTCTCCAGTCCACCTCTGAAAGATTAGCAGAAACACAGCACACAGCACCATCATTTGTGAAGGTAATTAGATCTTTATTGGTTGTTGTTGGAAAAAGCAGTAATTTTCAAGTTACTGAAAAGAACCTTCAATATCTGTTTTCTGTTTTTGGCTAATTTTCTTCCATCTTTCCATTTATGATAAAGGATTCATATTCTATGTAATCATAATACTTACAACTCCCCTGAGTGCCAAGCTTGTCTTTCCACTAGCCTGTTAGATATCTTGCTCTTTTTTTCCCTTATCGACCTATACCTGCTGATGTCTTCTTGTGTTAGTAAGTAGTATCCACCCTAGCTGGAAGCCTGGTGGTCCACTATGGTTTGTCCATCCTCTCCCACCTCTCCCATCCATTAATCCTGTGATCCAGCCTCTTAAATATTTCTTAAATCTGTCTTCATCCACTGCATACCTAGACCATAATTATTTCTTGCCTAGATTACTCTACTAAACGCTCATTTAGTCTCCTTGCCTTTAGTCTTGCTGCCTTCAGTCCAGCCTCTAGACTGCCACCCACTGGACTGTCTAAAATGTATTAGTGTAATGGCTGTGTTCTTCTGCTTTGTTGTCAGACTTCTGCCGTAGATGCGTAGGGCATCTCATCATGTGGCATGCTGCCTATCGTTTTTCTGTTCTCATCTTTCAGTGTGCCGCCTTCTCTGTCCCCCTACCCACCTCCTCTCTTGGTGTTTTAAAGTCCTGTCAAACAAGATTGCTTATAGTTCTTGAGCTCTGTGAAGGCTGTTGTTTCAAGACTGTCAGGTTGTTCATGCTGTGTGTTTGCGCTCCCGTTTTCTTTCCTGGCTTCTTAGGTAGCGTTTGTTTTACCACCATACCTCGTACCTCTAACATCATATCAGAATGATTTCAGAAGCTTAGTTCTTTGTGTGTCTCTCCCCAACAGACTAAAAACATTCAGATTATTTACCTGTACATCTTTAGAACTTATACGGGGCCAGGTCTGTGAAGGGTGCTCAGTAAACATTTAATAAATGGATGAGATTTTTCCTGTAGCAGAGATAAAGGAATGTGAACCTCAAGCCATTAGCACCCTAAGTTAACATGTGACCCTGTTGACTGTTTTCAGTAGTTAATGGTCTTATTTAAGGGAGTTTCTTTATACTGACTGATGCAAGTATAGGGTCCATTGTTAGTTTCCTAGCCATTGATTATTTTGTTTGTTTGTTTTGCAGGGGGTAGGTAATTAGGTTTATTTAGTTAGTTTTTCGATGGAAGTACTGGGGATTGAACCCAGGACCTCATGCATGCTAAGCATGCGTTCTACCACTTGGGTTATTCCCTCCCCACTAGCCATTGATTATTTATTGTTGAGTCTTAGCCTTATTTTTCACATTGACAATGAAAAATTTAAATTCTGGAATCTTAATGAATTTTTTTTGTGAGTGGTTGTTGTATTTTGGGGGAGTGTTATCTATATAGTCAACCGATAACGATGTGTTATTTTGTATTTAGGGATTTCTTTTGCGGGACAGAGGATCAGATGTTGAGAGTTTGGACAAACTCATGAAAACCAAAAACATACCTGAAGCTCACCAAGATGCATTTAAAACTGGTTTTGCAGAGGGTTTTCTGAAAGCTCAAGCACTAACACAGAAAACCAATGGTAAGTTGATTTGACAGCATCCGTATTTGGGGAAGAACATCTGAAAGGAAGTTATAGTCCTACCTTTCAGTGTTACAATCACTTTTCTAACAATTATCCAACTCTTATAGGTTATATTCCATTGTATTTATATCTTAAGCTGTGTGGGAGTGGAAATACCTGCTGGCACTTTTTCTTTTTCAAGTGAGAACACAAAGTCAATGATAGACCCAGGAAGGGCTTCATGACATTTTTGGTAACAGGTGCTGAAAATTCCAGAATTACAGGTGGTGAAATGTGATTACCATCAGCAACTTAATATTTGCACTTCATTGAGCAGTCATTTCTCACTGATGTCACTTGATTTGTCTTTTTCTGTTTTCTCTAGATTCTCTAAGAAGAACTCGCCTGATTGTCTTTATTTTGCTGGTAGTTGGCATTTATGGGCTCTTAAAAAACCCATTTTTATCTGGTAAAGGCTCTTTTTAATTATCTGATTTTTTATCTTTTATATGCTTGTTTCCTTTTAATAATTAGTCTGTCTAAGACTTAGAGATAAGAAAACATTCATGTTTATACTTCTCAGGTCTAGGTCTTTCATTTGGATTGGGTTACTTTGAGATTGTTTTTTGCAGTGAAATAGAGACGTTTTAACCTCTTATGATTGTGTACCATCTGTATTGTCAGAGGGCTTATTATATTTGCATTCTTTTGTAGATTATAAGAAAAATTCCTTTAGACACTTACAAATTCAGATTGCACTTGTTTTGAGAAAATAACTAATTTTTTTTAAAGTTCTGAGTATTATGTAAGAGTGAAAATGTTAGATCTACTTCTAGTAATGGTTAGTTCCCCAGACATTTAGATTCTAAAAACATGTGAAGAATTTTATAATAGCAGTACAGAGTAAAATAGTCAACTATTTCAAAGACACAATAATAAATTGAATTTATTAAAAGTGAACTTACATAGAAATATACTTTAAATGGAGTCCCATATTTTCTCAGTTTACCAGTCTAAAATGAATAGTGTCAGGTTTAAGCGATTCCAGTTGGTTTTTCAACTACCATTCAGTTTTCACCCCGTGTTTTCTACTTTCTTTATGATGGATTACCTTAAGAAAAAAATAATACACAATTAAGAACATTGGGTGACCCGGATCAAGAACTTGCATATAGCCCCAGTTATTTTAAAAGTTATTAGTGGCATCAAACCTGAGATAAGGTTTTAACATCCAGGAATAGCCTTTTTATATCTAGATCTGCCTTGTCTTGTCTCCTTTTTTTTTTTTTTTTTTTTCCCCTCAAAAAAAGAACCAGTAAAGGGATGATAGGAGATACCAGCAGGGTAGTGGAGGGGTGGGATGAGCTCTGATTTTTCTTTTATGTTTCTTAATTATGCATAATGGAGTTTGAGAACCATTGGTTTAAATTTCTATTATTAGATATAAGGAGAAGAGGAAAATTCTTAGTTTTAATTGGAAAGGCAAAGATGTCATTTTAATGTGAATCATTTATTCCTTGAACATGGTCTCAAAATCCAGACCTAATTTCTACTCCTCATGCTATTTATATACATGTGAACTTAGAGGGCTTTCTTACATCTAAAAAATAAGGTGGTTAAAATTTTAGGAATCTATTAACTATGTAAATGCTTCTTTTCTCTTCCCTTTAGTCCGCTTCCGGACTACGACAGGGCTTGATTCTGCTGTCGATCCTGTGCAGATGAAAAATGTTACCTTTGAGCATGTTAAAGGAGTAAGTTAAAAAGTTTACCTTGACCGCTACAAACATTATCTTCATTGTATTTTTTTATTCTAACGGTTGAAATAATAGAAAATATGTTTTGGTCTCTGCCCCCAGTTCCTGGCTTAGGGCTCCTAAAACCCTTGTTAATCTCCAAAGTGATAAGAGCCCTATGAGCATCTTTTGTTCTGCTGTTTGGTCTTTGAGCCTGGTTCCTGACACGGTGCTTCTCAGTCCCTTGTAGTTTCCTGGGGGATAGCAGTGTCTTTTGTACTAATGAGGGGGCTCTGGGTGGGCTCCTGGAAGAGGGCTGGTCACCAGAAAGGTCAAGCCATGATGAAAAGCTTGGAACTTTAACCTCCACTCTCTATTCTCCAGAGACGGGAGAGGGGCTGGAAATGGAGTTAATAATTGATCATGACTGTATGAGGAAACTCCCATAAAAATCCCAGCAGTTCAGGGTTCAGGGAACTTGCAGTTGGTGAACACATGGAGAGGTGAGGAGAGTAGTGTTTTCATAGAGGACATGGAAGCCCTGTACCTCTTCCTGTGTTCCTTGTCCTGTGTCTCTCTTCCATTTGGCTATTCCTGAGTTATACCATTTCATAATAAACCAGTAGTCTGGTTACCTAAACTGTTTTCCTGAGTTCAATGAGCTGCTCTAGCAAATTAATCAAACACAAGGAGGGTGGTAGGACCCTCCAGTTGGTAGCCAGTTGGGTGGATGCACAGATAACAACCTAGACTTGTGATTGGCATCTGTGGTCTATGAGTGTGTGTGTGGTGGTAAGTCTTGTGGGACTTTGGCCCAAATGTGTCTTTCATGTTTGCCCCTGCCCAATGTACTTGAGTTTTCTCACCAAGAGCTGTTTAAGCTGTGTAGTGTGAGGTTGCAGATTGACTGCAATTATATTATTAGGCCAGTGTAATTTTAAATGAATAAATACATGAAAGTATACAAGCAGAGGTATTTTTAATTTACATTGATAGCAACATTTTTAAATTGAAGTTTCACCCACAGAAAAACTCTGGGTTTTTCATTTGTTTGTTTTCTGAAGGTTGAAATCTGGAGTGTTTATATCTACATTCCTTGGCAGAGCCATGTGGTATCTTTAAAGGAACTACTGCTTTCCAGCTCAGCGTGTTGCCTCCCCTGTTGTTTTCTATCTGGCCTGCTGCACTCATTTATTGATACCATTTTGCCCCTTGGAATTTGCCTTTGTGACTTCTGGTTATATGCTGACTAGGAAAATATGCTTACCATTTCTGATAGGCAGCTTTTGTAAATTTACATCAAAGTTTTAAAGTTGAGCTGATGTTCTGATTGCCATTTTTGTTGGCCAGAGTGTGCTTTATTCTTGTAAGGGATCACAACTCTGCAAGGTTTTATGTTTTGCAGATTAAGTCTTCTAAATTTTTTTTTTGCTGTGACCATTTATAAAACAGTATCAGTACACTATAGCTTAATTTTAGTCACTGTCTCTAGGCATCTGTTAGGAACTAAATCGTTTACAATCTAGTAGTAATCCTTTATCATGAAAATGACTGGCAGTAAGGATCAGGAGATGTGCTCTGTGTGTGTGTTTATAAAGGGACCTTTTTCTATACTTTCGTTGAAACAAAGAAAAAGCCAAGTTAATCTACAATTAAATTTGCATTAGTCAAAGAGGATGTCTTGGTAATCTAATCATTGTTTAAAATTATTTGGTAAATTGTATCACTTTAGGTGGAGGAAGCTAAACAAGAATTACAGGAAGTTGTTGAATTCTTGAAAAATCCGCAAAAATTTACTGTTCTTGGAGGTAAACTTCCCAAAGGTAAGTAAGACATCTTTCCTTTCCCATGGCTTGACAGAACACTGTAATATAGCACCAGTTTAATTTTTATCAGATATAACTGATTAACGTTAATTCTTAATTGCTATTTTACAAATAAGTCCTCTTTCTGAACATACTGTTCTGTAATTTTTTTTTGGTAATTTAAAGTTTTGCTGTAATTTCAAACTTTAAATAAATTGCAAGAATAAATAGTACAGAGAGCTCCCTCCATACTTTTAACCCAGACTCAAAAATTTTTTTAACATTTTGTTCCATTTGCTCATTCACTTTCTTTATAAAGCATGTATTTTTTTTAACCATTTACAAGTAAATAGTAGATGTCAGGCTCCTTTACCCCTAAATACCTCATTGTATATTTCCTCAGAATAAGGACATTCTCTTTACACAAACTTCAGTGCAGTTATTAAAATCAGGAAATTTAACATGGATCCAAAAATATTATCAAGTTCTCAGTCATGTTCAAATTTCAGCATTTGTCCCAATATGTAAACAGTATTTAAATGATATAGGAAAATTAGCTATGAGCAGATGGGAAGTGAGTCATTAGTAGAGACAAACACATTTTGGCTATTTCAGAATATTGGTCATTCATGTGCCTTGAACTTCAAAGCTGCGTAAATTAATTGGTAATTATTTGTTACAAGTTCATATCAGGCTTTATTTTTGTCTTTTAATTTGAACCATTCTCGTTTATTTTTTCTTTTAGGAATTCTTCTAGTTGGGCCACCAGGGACAGGAAAGACACTCCTTGCCCGAGCTGTGGCCGGAGAAGCCGATGTTCCGTTTTATTATGCTTCAGGATCGGAATTTGATGAGATGTTTGTGGGTGTGGGAGCCAGCCGTATAAGAAATCTTTTTAGTACGTTTTAGTGTATCTTTCCTATAGTACTAATTTCTCTGAATTTTAGCGGAAGAGGACTTCTTACCCTTTCTTTGCTGCTTGATTATGACTGCTAGTCGGCTGAAACGG